TGATGTTTGGAATATTCTGAACACTTTTCCAGAAGGCCACGAACCCATCCGAGGTCATCTTGGGCTCCAAAAACGCAATTTAAGCCCAAAAACGTCACTTTCCAGCACTGCGCACTGCTTCTTTATTTCATCGTCAGAAAATCACCGATTGGTGGAAAAATCCCAAATTTTGATACGATCAAGCTAAGTGACTCACGAACGTCCTCCAACTGGAATTACTCCAAAATTCGTCAATTTGGTCCTGTTTTGCTCCAGAGGAAGTCGAAAGTCCTATATTGAAAATACAATTCAAAGTATCAAAATTCTTCCAATATATTAACCAAAATATACTAAGATTAGGGTAAAATATATAATATAAAATCTACTCATCAGCCGACAAATGCAAACCCTTCTTTACTGCTATAAAGAAAAGCAAAGGCCTACTCTAGATGGATGAATGTGAAGAAGCTTTCATAAAACTAAAGGAATAATATCTAACCCTCCACGATTGTCCAAACCTATGTATGGGGAATATTTGTATTTGTACCTAGCAGTATCAAACTATGCGGTCAGCATGGCCCTGATTTGAGAATGTAAAACCATTTTGTGAATGACAATGAATTATGCCGAGAATAATTGAGGGAATATTGACTTGGCAATCAAGTTAATAAAATCTCTAGGACTTTCGGTGCCTTAAGGAAATAAACATATTGGAGTCCTAATTACATGCAATCAATTAAGGGCCTTTATTAAGTAAATACAAGGAATAAGAGTCATGATGGGACTATAATTGATGAGATATGATTTGAGTTGATTTCTTCTCCACACATGTCACACTTGCATACAAAACGATTTCCAATTGCTTTTCAATAGATTATGAATTCTCAACGCCTCAGATTAACCGTGAATTGCACTAATTAACCCTCAGATTTTCCTAAAGTTATTGAATTTGATGATTGCATACAACAACCCAAAGCATTCCCCACAAGTTCCCTACATGAATTGCATAATAGAGATACAAGCAAGAATCATTAAGTTCTACGAAAACCATAAGCATTGACGAGACACTTGTTACTTTGAATTGCATGAAACTTATGCCAAGAATTTACTTAACACGATTGTGATAAACAACCTTTACTACTTGCGAATATAAGTTCATAACGATTAGGTGAAACTCCCTTATATCCTAGCATTAGATTTATGCATGAAAATAAAGCGTGCACTCTCAACCAACACACACAAATCAATTTTAATTCATATAGATAAGCAAATTGAATTCACAACATATGAAACGCAATTGAAAGTAATCAAATCATATAGCAAGCATAAAACATGGTTTCGAATCCCCCCTAACCAAGGGGGGGTTTAAATTATCATACTCACAAAACAAAGATAAATAAATTTAGACATTGAAATCCAAAGAAAAATAACACCTAGACACTCCAACTTGGACAGCAGGTGCATCCACGAACTTCCTCCTCCCTCCTTGCTGCGGCACAAGACTTAGGGACAAATTCTTGGGGCTATGAATGTTGTAGAATGGATGGGGGTAGTATGGTGGTGTTTATGATGGATTGGTGGTGCGGCAAGGGTTGGTTTTAGGCAGGAATTATGGAGAATGGTGGTGGAAGGCTGCGGAAGAGAAAGGGGAATGTCTCTGGCGTGAATGTTTTTGTATGATGGGTGGTCATTCGGCCAAGGGGTGAATGAGAGTATATATAAGCACATAAAACCCTAGGGCAATCAGATTAAGGCTTCTAGAAACCAAATCCACCAGGAAAAAGGCTTAGAAAATCAGAATCCTCAAGGGAAGAGGCCAAGAGGTGCGATTGGATAGGGAGGGAAGGTTAAGGCTTCTAGAAAGCCTTGCAAGGCAAGGAAAATAGGTTCCCTTGCTGAATTTGGTGCGGCATCTATGGGAAATTGTTCTAGAACCTTCTTTGTGTCCAAAAATGCTTAGGAAATCTTCAATGTTGCTGAAACTTAAGGCCATTTAGGTTTAGGAAAGATCAACCCAAAATAGGAAACTTTAGGCTTAACTTTCCTACTTCAAGTAGGAAACCTTGTTTGAGTAGGAATCCTCATTCTTCTAGGAATCCATCTTAGACTAGGAATCCATCCTTAACTAGTACTCCTCCGATGATTAGGAATCCTTCTTCAATTAGGACTCCTTCGTTGATTAGGAATCCTTCGTCAATTAGGACTCCTTCATTCTCGTCCATTCCTTTCGTTCCAAGCACGTGATATCCATTCCAAGCTCAATCTTGCTCCAAAAGGCTCCAAAATGCATCGTTTTGCACACTTTGCCCTTAAAACCTGAAAAGACATGAAACTAGCTTAAAATACTAATTTAACTAAGAAAACACAACGTAAATGCATAAGAACAAGCTCACTAAGTCGCATAAATATGCTCCTATCATCTCACGATTCCAAATATCAACCACTTCGAGCCGAAGGTAGTAGCCATTATCGACACCACAAAAAACTGGATGGATGAGTTAATCGGTTACATCCAGGATGAGAAGTTACCAAAAAACCGCCACTTGGCAAGGAAACTAGTCCAAAGATTTCAAGATACACGGTTATACGCAGAAAACTGTACTGATGCTCCTACTTCCAACCCCACATGTTTTGCTTCACCTCGAAGATAAGCCTACAGATCTTGAATGACACACATTCTAGTGTGTGTAGGAACAACGCAAGCAGAAGATCCCTCGCAAAAAAGGTGTTGATGGTAGGATATTACTAGCCCACTATGTGACAGGATGCAGTAGATTGTGCTCAGACTTGCGACGGATGTCAAAAGTATGTGTCTATTAACCATCAACATGTTGAAGAACTTAGCACTTTAATAGGATCATGGCATTTCTATGCAATGGGGCATTGACCTTGTCAGACGACTAAAGAAGGCACAAGTTTATAAAGAATACTTGATAGTGGGCATGGACTATTTCTCCAAGTAGATTGAAGCAGAACCTTAATCACTAGGGCAGGGGTAAAATCCTACATAGGGACGAACATCATCTATCGATCTTGCATCCCTCACACCATACTCATAAACAATAAACAATAAACTGCAACTCACCAACTCTGAAGTTATAAATTGGTTCACCTCCATTCCGCATTACCCATAAAATAATGGACAAGCAGATACTTCAAACAAAACCATTATGTAGTGCTTGAAGAAACAATTAGAGAAGAAGAGTAAATGGCCAAAACAATTGTATGAAGTTCCATGGGCATATCAAACCACTCTCGAAATGAGATTGGGGAAACTTCATTCCCCATGGCCTATGGAACTGAATGGGTCATCCTAATTCAAGTCACCACCATGCCTAGCTTATACACAAAAAAGAAAATCCTAAAGAATGATGGGGATCTTGAAATCCGATCTCGATTTCACAGAAAAACGCCAAAAATGCGCTTAAGTCTAGCTCGTTGCTTACCATCAACAGTTTAGATCCTACTACAACAAAAGTGTCAAACTTCGGAGTCTTCAGGTTAGGGATTTAGTTTTAAGGGAAGGCCACCACAACCAAGAGAATGAACCAACGAAATAACTGGATCAATGTAAAAAAACGGGTGAGCAAGCCATCCACGTAATGTGTGCTCCCATAATCCTACCGAATAGTGCTAACCACTTTAATAAATGAGGGTGAAGTAGAAAAATAAATTAGTATCAAACTCACAATTCACAAGATATGAACTTAAAACCTCTCATTTACAAATAAAAAATAATTTCCAAAGCCAAAGCTTTAATGAAAATGGCTTGTTTAAACTTTTTATTAACCAAAAGCCATCTAATAACTTTATGGCTTTTTAGAAAAAATAGTCTTTGAGATTTGCATAACTCCTCACTTTGTCCCTAATATTTGAAATCAATAAAATTGGTCCCTGAGGTTGTCCATCATCAATCTTTTTGGTCATTCAATGAAAAGTTATGTTAAATAAGAATCAAAATAATAGGTCAAAATGATTTGACAAAAATAGGAGTATTTTTGTCATTTTATCCTTATTTAATGGAGATTTTTCATGGAATGACCAAAATGATTGATGATGGACAAACTTAGGGACCAATTCTATCGATTTCAAATCTCAGAGACCAAAGTTATAAGTTATGCAAATCTCAGGGACCAGGCCTAACTTTATTTATTGAAAAGGGCTTAAACTTTAACATAATAAATAAATAAATAAACTTGAATTTTAATGAAAATGACAAAAGTTTAACATAATACAAAAAAACAAAAACTCTCCCTCATTCCCTTACTCCACCGTTCTTAACCTCTTTCCCTCTCTCTTCCCTCTTTCACATATTCCCATCAATTTTCTCTCCTTTCACCTCACCCATACACAATAACTTTCTCTTATCTGTCCTCTCTCTTTTTACCTCTCCACTCTCTCATGTCACTCTACTCTCACTCCACAAAAAATATTTTTTTATTTTTTATTTTATTGTTTGTTTATTTGACCATTATTTCATAATTTTTTTTAGAATAAACTAAATAATAATATTACAAGACCAAAAATAAAGATAATTTTCAGTTTTCAGTTTTATTAATACTAATACTATCACTATTTCTTAAATTGAACATTGACTACTTCTTAAATTGAACACTATTTCTTAAACTAAACACTGACTATATCTTAAACTGAACACTAATACTATCACTGTTTCTTAAATGAACACTAAATATTTTGTAAACTAAACACTGACTATTTCTTAACTGACCACTAATACTATCACTATTTCGTAAACTAAACATTGACTATTTCTTAAATCGAACATTAGTACTTTCACTATTTCATATATTAAATACTGATTATTTCTTAAACCGAACACTAGTACTATCACTATTTCGTAAACTAAACACAAACTATTTCTTAAAACGAACACTAGTACTATTAGTATTTCGTAAGGGAATTGTTATTAGCACTCCAAAAATCTCATTCTACACTCCAAACTTTCTATATTAGGAAAGAAAAATATACTTGTGAGGAGTGTAGAATAAGATTTTTGGAGTGCCAATAACATTTCCTTTTTGTAAACTAAACACTGACTATTTCTTAAACCCGAACACTAGTACTATTACTATTTCTTAAACTAGTACTATCACTATTTCGTAAACTAACACTGACTATTTCCTAAACCAAATACTAGTACTACCACTATTTCGTAAACTAAACACTAGCTATTTCTTAAACTGAACACTAGTACACTAGTACTATCACTATTTCATAAACTAAACACTAACTATTTCTCAAACCGAATACTAGTACTATCACTATTTCGTAAACTAAGCACTGACTATTTATTAAACTGAACACTAATACTTTCACTATTTTTTATCTGAACACTAATTATTTTTTAACTGAATACTAGTACTGTTTTAGGTTCGGACCATTGCCATATTATCATCCAGTGTGAACGTCGAATGACTGCTGGTCGAAAGTTATTCTGCTTCGAAGCTTTTTGGGCGATAGAGGAGGAATGCAAAAGGTTGGTGTTGTTGGGACCATCTTTGCGGTGGTGATGCACTGGATCGATGGCAAAAACGGATCAATGATTGTCGATCTCAACTCATTATGCGGAGTAAAAGGAAATTCAAAATGAGGAAATAGGAAATTGTGGAGCTTATGTCCCAGCTTGGGAGCTTCAAAAAAATTAGGGAGCATATATTGATGAGATTCATGAGAAGACAAATTGATTGATATGTTACTGGTGCAGGAGGAGAGTTTTTGGCAACAAAGGTCAAGGGTTAAATGGCTTCGTGAAGGAGATGATAACACCAGGCTTTTCCATCAATCCACCACGCAACGACGGGGGAGAAATCATGTGATGAAACTTAAAAAAGAGGATGGCAATTGGGAGGAGCAATCGAGTCGGGTGAGGAAGCTGATCGATAAATATTTTCTAAATCTCTTCACCTCTGCAGGGATAAGGGAGTGGGGACCAATTTTAAAGTGTGTAACTCCGTCGGTTATCGACAACATAAACGAGTCCTTGATGTCTTTAAGCTCGGATATGGAAATTAAAGATTAAAGAAGCAATGATGCAAATGGGCGGTCTCCAGGCTCCGGGACCTGATGGCTTCCAAGGTGTGTTTTATCATTCTTTTTGGGAAAGTATTAGAGATGAGGTTAATGCTCTGGTACGGATGCTAGAATTATGGGAGGTTAATCCTCGCCGACTCAACACAACTCACATTGTGCTAATTCCGAAAGTTCAAAATCCGGAATCTGTTTCCTAGTTCTGACCGATTAACTTATGTAATTATTCTTATAAGATCTTGGCAAAGGTTTTGGTGAATCGGTTAAAACCGTTGCTTCCCAATCTCATTTCTCCTATGCATAACGCTTTTGTCAGGGGTCAACAAATTCAAGATAATGTTGGGATTGCTCACGAATTATTCCATTTCCTTAAACTAAGGAAAGCAAGAAGCAAGTTTGAGCTTGGCATCAAGCTAGATATGCATAAAGCGTATGATCGGGTGGAGTGAGATTTCCTTGATGCAGTTATGGAGAAGATGGGGTTTAATTCTAGTTGGCGGAAGCTTATCATGAGGTGTGTGAGCTTGGTTAACTTTGCGGTAATTCTTAATGAGCAACCGAGAAACAAGTTTGCTCCTTCAAGAGGTTTACGACAAGGGGATCCTTTATCTCCTTAATTGTTCCTATTGGTCAGTGATGTTTTTCCCAGGATGATTCAATTGGTGGTGGAGCGAAAGCTTTTGGAAGGGGTGAAGATGAAACTGCATGGTTCGATAATATCTCATATTTTCTTTGCCAATGACACACTTATATTTTTGAAGGCCACTAGAATGAATTGTTGCAATTTGGTCAAAATCATAGAAGATTATTGTGCGGCTTCGGGCTAAGCAGTAAATCTACAAAAATCGTGCATTTTCTTCAATGCTAATATGCCAGTGGTACTGTCGACGGAGTTGGGACAATTTCTTAATATGTATGTGGTTTCTGATCCGGGGATATATCTTGGTGTTCCTGCCATGTGGGGAAGATCAAAGCGGTAAGGTCTTACTTATGTCAAAGGCAGAAATTTGCGAAATACAAGGATGGAAACAAAACACTTTCTCTCTAGTGGGCAAAGATGTATTAATTAAAACGATAGCTCAAGCGATTCTGGCATACCCTATGAATTTTTTAAATTCCCGACTGCGATGTGTAACGAGTTAGACTCTTTGATGTCTGGATTTTGGTGGGGGCAGTTGGTGAGGAGCGGAAAATTCACTGGGTGTCTAAGAACATTTTGGGTCTCTCTAAGCAGGATGGGGGTATGGGGTTCAGGAACTTTAATGATTTTAACGATGCCTTACTTGCAAATAAATGTTGGAGGCTGATTCAAAACCCAAACTCTCTATAGGCATTGGTTCTCTAAGCTAGATACTTTCCACATTGTTCTTTCCTTAATGCTCAACGGGGGAATAGGGCCTCTTGGGCTTGGAACAGTCTTTTGGTAGGTAGGGATCTGTTGATGAAAGGATCACACTGGCAAATCATGGAAGGGTGAAATGTTCGATTATGGATGGATAGGTGGCGTCCCTCACTTCTATTGGGTCATCCAATGCCTAGTGAAGAGGTGTCAGTGAGTAGGGATACCAGGTTGGTGTCTCTCATCAGTCCTACTGCTCATTCTTGTGATATAAGTTTCCTTCAACCGTTCTTGTCGGTGATGGAGAAAGATGTTATATTGGCGACACACATTGGGGATCTTAGGAGAGGCGATTGACTTGTTTGGCCTTCCACCAAGAATGGGTTGTATGTGGTCAAGTCTAGGTATCACTGGGCAAGGTCTCTGCAGGGTTCCCCGGTGGATCAGCGGCCCTCCTCTTCCCGCTCTCTATCAAGACTGATTTGGAAAATTATTTGGAAGTTGAGAACCCCCGCCAAAACTTCGTAATTTTATGTGGCGAGTTGCTCATCGTGCCCTGGCTACGATGGAAAAATCTATTTATACGAAAATCAACCCCCTCACCGAAGTGTCCGATAGGCAACAGTCATGATGAATCTATTGAGCATCTCCTCTTATTATGCCCTTGGGTAGAGACTATCTGGTTTAGTGGAATTCTCAATTATAAAGTTGATAGACATGAGATTTCTTCATGGGTGGATTGGTTTCATTCCATTGCTACTCGGCAGTTTGGGTCTAAGGATGAGCATGGCATTTTGCTTTCTCATGTCGCATTTACTTGTTGGCATACTTAGAAAGCGAGGTTCAATTTTTTATTTAATCAAATTCCAATTCAACCTACCGAGGTTCTCCTTGCAATTTCAATTCTACTGGTATGTTCCTTGAAGTTACTAGTGATCCTCCTATTTCCCTCCTAGCTATCTCCACTGTGGATGCTCCTGCAGCCCTTTAGTCCCTCATTTCAGCCCTCTTCCTAAAGGTTAATGTTGATGCTAGCTGGTCGGTTTCATCGTAGAATGGTTTTGTGGGGATTGTGATTAGGGGTGCGATGGGGAGGTTCGTGGTTGCGACAAGGTATGCGGTCCAGGCTCCAAATGCAACCACGGTCGAAGCTTTGGCTATTTTGAGAGAATGTGAGCTAGCTGCTGCTTTGGGACACCGTTGGGTAATCATTGAATCTGAATCGAAGGATTCAATTTCATCCTTATCAACTTCCTTGGAAAATGGCAGATAAAAGGCCCTTCCTACCTTATTGACTGTTAAGCAATTAAGGGAGTCTTTTCAGGGATGTCATTGGTCTTGGGTTCCAAGATCAGCTAGGGGTGGGCATAAAAACCGCCAAACCGGAAAACCGAATCGAACCATGACAAAAAAAAAAACCTTAAAAAACCCCGTTGACCAAAAAAGTCAAAATCGGAACAAAAATCTGGAAATATTAAGAACCGGACCGAACTGCTTTTAATATAAATTATTGTTTTATTATTATTTTTATATAAAAAAGACATTTTTCCAAGAAAACCATGTGCATAAGCCTAATATTTTCTTCACTTCTCTCCCCTTCCTTTATTGTTTTATCGCTTTTCTCCCCCTACATTATTTTTTCTCCATTCTTTTCCAGTATATTATGCATTATGTACATTTTAGTTTTAGTTTAAGATCTACACTTTGGTCTTGATATGCCTTTCTATCTTTTGATTTATATTTATATGCACACTTTCTATCTTCCGGTCAAAAATCTTAAAGATCTAGTAGTGGAACTCAAATTTACTTGAATTTGTGGTTGAAATGTGTTGATGCACAAAATCAGTGAGGACTTTGGTACAACAAAAAGTGTTAAGTTTGTGACCTTCGCTAGATTGCTCCGGTCACTAGTATGAATAAGTATGTAAATGGATAGAGATATGAAAGCAAACACAAGATGTACGTGGTTCACCCAGATTGGCTACGTCCACGGAGTAGAGGAGTTCTCATTAATTGTGAAGGGTTTACACAAGTACATAGGTTCAAGCTCTCCTTTAGTGAGTACAAGTGAATGATTTAGTACAAATGACATTAGGAAATATTGTGAGAGAATGATCTCTATTTATAGAAGAGAGTTTCTAGTTTCATTCTGACATTGACACGTGTCGTGTTGTGATTGGCTTCTGATGTTGACACGTGTCATGTTATGATTGGCTTTTGATGTCGACACGTGTCGCGCTGTGATTGGCCTCCTGGTTGTAGGGAAACTCTTATGGGTCCTTGATGGTGTAACGTTGACCGGTGCTCAGTAGTTTCGAGATTGGTCAAGTATGGTACAAACAGTGCTCCCCTAAGTTCCCGAGTGAGGGAAGCTCCTCGGTTGGGGACTTGCAAGATCCAAGCCATTGAGTAATCATGAAACTTCTAAGTACCGAAGTGTGGTATCATTTTCACTTGCCTTATCTATGTCATACGTAGATGTGGCATCTTCTCTGAAAGTACTTTTCCTCCATCCAGGGGTGGTATCTTTAACCGATGAAGATGCACAAGGTAATGTATCAATTTCACTTGAAGCTTACTTGTAGTTTCGGGCTTGGTCAAGTGCGATACAAAACCCTATAGTAGGAGTCCCCCAAGTCGCCGAGCTAGGAGATTTGCCGAAAGAGGTAATAGATAAGGTAAGCAATCAGACTTCCAAGCAAGCAACCTGGATCGGAGGTTCGGCTTCGGCTTCCCGTTGATTGTTCTCCTTCTCCTTGTGTCGTAAATAGCAACAAGGATAAGGAGAAGCAAATGGAGAAAAGATGATATGAGATACTTTTGCTTTTGAAGAAGTAACTTTCCACAGGCTTATTCTTGAACTGAGCTGGAGGGTTTTCTGGTTTCCTCCAAAGTATAAGGCCGACTCAAGAATTTGAGGGTCAAAACAAGTCCATCAAATCAAGAGTGTGTTCGACCTTGATGATATGGGATACTTTTGCTGTTGACGAAGTAATAGATGAATCGGCATGTGTTCAGTTGCGCTTGTCTCCAAATGCTTTCTTGTATCCTTCTTACTTACCCTATCTGTTCCTCAGGCAGATGTGGTACCTTTTCAGGAAGCATAAGATGTTGAAGACGAGTACTCGAGAGCAATGCGAGGTAAGTAATCAGGCAAGGGGTTCCAGGCAGTCAGTTCTTGATTGGAAGCTTGATTCCAAGTGCTAACTGATTGCTCTCTTTCTCCTTGTCTTGCAGGTAAGAACAAGGGCAAAGGAAAAGACAGGGAAAAAGCATGATATGGGATATCTTGCTTTTGACCCTGATGATTCTCTTGCTCTGGTGTGGCTGGTTTTCAAAGGTATTATTGAGGGGGAAGAAAGCTGAGTATTTCGATAGGCTTCGTTAGGAGTGCCCTCTCAGATATGAGGAAGGGTTGACTATTTTTACAGGTCTGCCTATCCGTGGAGGATGGAGGTCGACATATATAGGAGTCTCCTTAACAACAAGTAGTAATGTTATTCCTTTACCTTTCTTGGTCGTAGCAATGTAATGGGAGCTGCAAGCTTCACATGTTTTAACTTTGAAAAGGTGGTATGTGGTATCTGGAAAGCTGATGTTACGTGTGAAGATTGCAGACAAGCTTTATCCAAGGAAATCTGGCTCTCAAAGTTCGGAGAGCGATACCTCTTCGGTTTTCGAACAAGCAATCCTGTCGGGGATCTGGCTCTCGAGATTCAGAAAGCGGTGCCTCTTCGATTTTTGAGAAAGCAATCCTGTTAGGAGTCTGGCTCTTGAGATTCGGAGAGCGGTGTCTCGATTTTTGAGAAAGTAATCATGTTGGGAGTCTGGCTCTCGAGATTCGGAAGGCAGTGCCTCTTCGATTTTTGAGCAAGCAATCTTGTTGGGAGTGTTTTCTCGAATGTGAGTAAAGGTTAGGCATTTTTGCCAGTCTGCTTTGCAACAGAGCACAGAGGTTGACACACATTAGGACTTTCTAGTTATGAAGCAATGGGTTGTTCCTTTACCCTTGTGGGTAATAGTAGGGTAGCTGGATCTTCAAAATTTATGTGTCTAAACTTTGTCAAAGATCTTTAGCAAAGTTATCTGCGGTACCCGAGGAGCTAATGTTGCGTGTGGAAAGTGGTGTCTCTTCAAAATCCAGAGAGTGGTACCTCTTCGATTTTTGAACCAATAGCCATGTTGCCCTTTCTTTTATAAGGGCACCAATTGTGTGCAAGAAGTACATTCAGAAAGTTATTGCTTGTAGGAATTCTCCCCTTACTTCAGAGATTTATTGCACCTCATTTCTCTTTCATCATTTCTGAGAATGTCTGGCCCATCCGACCGTCGTTTTAACTTGAACTTTGGTGAAGAGGCAGCAATGCCTTCTCAAGACAACATATGGCGCCCATCCGTCTTATCTCCTACTGGTCCTCTTACCGTTAGGGACTCTGTGATGAAGAATGATATGACCACTGCGGTGGTGGCCAGGAACCTTCTCACTCCCAAAGATAACAGACTACTTTCCAAACAGTCTGATGAGTTGGCTGTTAAGGATTCTCTGGCTCTCAGTGTTCAGTGTGCAGGTTCTGTGTCTAATATGGCCCAACGCTTATTTGCTTGAACCCACCAAGTTGAATCATTGGCTGCTGAAGTGATAAGTCTCAAACAGGAGATCAGAGGGCTCAAGCATGAGAATAAACAATTGCACAGGCTCGCACATGACTATGCTACAAACATGAAGAGGAAGCTCGACCATCTGCAGGAATCTGATGGTCAGATTTTACTTGATCATCAGAGGTTTGTGGGTTTGTTCCAAAGGCATTTATTGCCTTCATCTTCTGAGGTTGTACCGCGTAATGAAGCTCCAAATGATCAACCTTCGGTGCCTGCTCCTTCTGGGGTTCTGCCTAGTACTGAGGCTCCGAATAATCACCCTCTGGTGCCTCATCTTTCTGGGGCTCTGCCGACTGCTGAGACTTCTCCTGAGCAACCTTTATGAAGGCTCCCTCTTGTTTGTTTATTTTGATTCATGTATATGTACATATTTGTAACTTATCGGAGATATCAATAACCAAGCTTTGCTTCATTTCAACGTATTGTGTTAAATACACCAAGGCCTTCTTCACTAAGTTCTTTGAAATTTTCCTTTTGTTGAAGCTTTGTGAGTGAAGCATGTAGGTTGAGGTAATGCTCCCTTAATTTCCCGAGTGAGGAAAACTTCTCATTTGGAGACTTGAAAAATCCAAGTCACTGAGTGGTCGTGAGACTTCCGAGTATCAAGGTGCAGTAGTATATGGTAGGAGTCCCCCAAGTCTCCGGTCGAGGAAGTTGACGAATGAGGCATTTCCTTTCTAAGTGGTAGCCCAAAACTCCTTCTTCATATATATTTATTATGAAAGTTGTTAGGCCCAAAGAAGAGGAGGCCTAGGCAATTCTTTTTTTTTTTTCGAAATTTTTTTTTCGACTTTTTTTTTTCGAATTTTTGAATTTCCGAATTTTTGAATTTTCGAATTTCCGAAAAAAAAAATTAAATATATATATATATATATTAAAGCTTTGTAGGTGAAGCTTTGTTGGGCACCATGAATTGATTTTGCTTCACACTATCTTGATCAAGATAGTGTGAAGCTTTTGTAGGTGAAGCTTTTGTGTTGAAGTTTTGTAGGTGAAGCTTTTGTGGGTCAAGCTTTTGTGGGTCAAGCTTTTGTAGGTGAAGCTTTTGTGGGTCAAGCTTTTGTGGGTCAAGCTTTTGTAGGTGAAGCTTTTGTGGGTCAAGCTTTTGTAGGTCAAGCTTTTGTGGGTCAAGCTTTTATGGGTGAAGCTTTTGTAGGTGGAGCTTTTGTAGGTGGAGCTTTTGTAGGTCAAGCTTTGTTGGGCACCATGAATTGATTTTGCTTCACACTATCTTGATCAAGATAGTGTGAAGCTTTTGTAGGTGAAGCTTTTGTAGGTGAAGCTTTTGTGGGTGAAGCGTTTGTGGGTCAAACTTTTGTGGGTCAAGCTTTTGTAGGTGAAGCTTTTATGGGTCAAGCTTTTGTAGGTGAAGATTTTGTGGGTTAAGCTATTATGGGTCAAGCTTTTGTAAGTCAAGCTTTGTTGGGCACCATGAATTGATTTTGCTTCACACTATCTTGATCAAGATAATGTGAAGCTTTTGTAGGTGAAGCTTTTGTGTTGAAGTTTTGTAGGTGAAGCTTTTGTGGGTAAAGTTTTTTGGGTCAAGCTTTTGTGGGTCAAGCTTTTGTGAGTCAAGGTTTTATAGGTCAAGCTTTTGTGGGTGAAGCTTTATAGGTCAAGCTTTTGTGGGTCAAGCTTTTGTGGGTGAAGCTTTTATAGGTCAAGCTTTTGTGGGTTAAGCTTTTGTAGGTCAAGCTTTTGTGGGTGAAGCTTTTGTGTTGAAGCTTTTGTGGGTGAAGCTTTTGTGGGTGAAGCTTTTACGTTGAAGCTTTTGTAGGTGAAGCTTTGGAGTTGAAGCTTTGTAGGTGAAGCTTTGGAGTTGAAGCTTTTGTTGGGTACCATGAATTGATTTTGCTTCACACTATCTTGATCAAGATAGTGTGAAGCTTTTGAGAATTTGTAGTTGTCCTCCATTGATGAAGCTTTTGTGTTGAAGCTTTTGTGGTTGAAGCTTTTGTGTTGAAGCTTTGGAGTTGAAGCTTTTGTTGGGTACCATGAATTGATTTTTCTTCACATTATAGTGTGAAGCTTTTGTGAATTTGTAGTTGTCCTCCATTGATAAAGCTTTTGTGTTAAAGCTTTTGTGTTAAAGCTTTGGAGTTGAAGCTTAGTAGGTGAAGCTTTGGAGTTGAAGCTTTTGTTGGGTACCATGAATTGATTTTGCTTCACACTATCTTGATTAAGATAGCGTGAAGCTTTTGAGAATTTGTAGTTGTCCTCCATTCATGAAGCTTTTGTGTTGAAGCTTTTGTGGGTGAAGCTTTTGTGTTGAAGCTTTGTAAGTGAGGCTTTGGAGTTGAAGCTTTTGTTGGGTACCATGAATTGATTTTGCTTCACACTATCTTAATCAAGATAGTGTGAAGCTTTTGAGAATTTGTAGTTGTCCTCCATTGATGAAGCTTTTATGTTGAAGCTTTTGTGTTGAAGCTTTGTAGGTGAAGCTTTAAGGTTGAAGCTTTGTTGGGCACCATGAATTGATTTTGCTTCACACTATCTTGATTAAGATAGTGTGAAGCTTTTGAGAGTTATGGTTGAACTTCTTTGATGAAGCTCTTGTTTGCACCATAAATTGGTTTTGCTTCACACTGTCTTGATCAAGAGTGTGTGAAGCTTTTGAGAATTGTGGTTGCCCTTCATTGATGAAGCTCTTATTGGCACCATAAATTGGTTTTGCTTCACACTGTCTTGATCAAGAGTGTATGAAGCTTTTGAAAATTATGGTTGCCCTCCTTTGATGAAGCTCTTGTTGGCACCATAAATTGGTTTTGCTTCACACTGTCTTGATCAAGAGTGTGTGAAGCTTTTGAAAATTGTGGTTGACCTCCATTGATAAAGCTCTTGTTGGCACCATAAACTGGTTTTGCTTCACACTGTCTTGATCAAGAGTGTGTGAAGCTTTTGAGAATTGTGGTTGAACTCCTTTGATGAAGCTCTTGTTGGCACCATAAATTGATGAAGCTAATATGTTCACCTCCTCCCTTTTTTTTTTTTTTAAGGGGGAGAGGGGGTGCTGTAAATTTGAAATTTGAAAACTCCCTAGCTTGTGCGGAAGTCTGAAGACTTTCCATGTGGGGTTTTCTCATGGTTTGAATTTTGAATTTCGAATTTCTTTGGCCATGTTGAACCCTATAAGAATGAGAAGTTTTCACTCTTTTCATTGTCTTCATTTGCTCATTTTGTAGTGATTTTTGGAGATAAAGTGCTCTTATAGTTGAGAGGGATTCCGGCATTGCTTTGCACCATCTTCAGGTTGGTAATCTTCTCCACTAGATCACATGCTTTCATTCTTGTTGAATTGTTTGAGTGTTCATGTATTTGGTTGAGAACATAATGAACTGATTGAGCTTTTCTCCACCCCCTAGGAATTTCCTTATGTTTCGATCTTTCATGTGGTGATAAAGTTTGTTTCTATTTGTTGTAGATGTCAGAGTTTGGAAGTCCTAATGATGGGGGCTCCCCTAACACTAACTCTAGGTTTGAGCTTGCAACGTTGGAGTCTTCAGGACCTTTGTTGGAGTCTTGTACAAAAAATTCAAGATTGGGTGATCCTCGCAATTGCCAAGCCTTAGCCAATATTGGTTCTTCCTCCTTAATGTCAATGGGTGAGGGGGTTCTTTGTGACGTCATACCCATATTTCACTTTGAGCTCACAGCAGACCATTTAGTGCAAAACTTGTTAGATAGCAAAAAGCAGCTTGAGGCCTTAAGGCAGTCATGTAGTATCCCCCGTAGTGTAGGAATGCGTTTGGGGCATCATGAAGAATTGTCCTCTGAACCACGCAAGGGTCATGTTATGTTCTATACCCATATATTATTGACTTTAAGGGTGAAGTTGCCTTTGCACCCGTGGTTGCAACAGATGCTATCTTTCATTGGATATGTGCTTGGGCAACTCTACCCTGGTTTTTGGGATACCTTGATCAGGTTTTATATTATTTGGATGGAATGTGGGTTAGGTGAGCCTTCCTTTCATCAATGGTGCTACTGATATAAAATGCACCCGGTGAAAGCATGCACTGGGTATGCCGAGTGTGCATGTTGGAGTGAGAGATAGTGTATTGTCTTTGGTAAGAAAAAGGCGTACTGCACTTGGAAAAACCTTTGGTGCTTTCTTTATAATGATTGGGAGTATGTTAAAGGTGTCACGCCTGAGCGACGTGTTCCTACTCACTTCCAGACTGTAGGTTGTAATGTATCCATTGTTTGCATTATTTGCTATTTGTTGTGATTTTCTCTTGCTTCTAACATTTTTTCTTCGTGCAGTGACGCGAGGGACCATCAAGCTGTCTGGACGGGAGCTAGCTGACATAGAGAAGGTGTTAAGGGTGCCCAAAGAGGATAGACATTTGGGCAAGCTACGACCCTTATTTCGAAAGTACGGTTTCCAGCCCTTAGTGTCAGAGTGCCAGAGACGAGCAAGTAAGTTGTGTCTTTCATTTCACCCCCTCTTTCTTTTACAAAGTTGCATTCCTTACTTTGATTTTTCTTGTTCAGTTGAGAAAGTGGGAAAGAAAGGGGAGACTAACGCCAAGAAAGGGAAAGTACCCATGTTAGTTCCCGTAGACGACATTTTGTTTCACAAGGGAGCTCGTAAGCACCGAGTGAGGCCAACCCCTAAACTTAAGTCACAAGAGGAGGTCCTCAAGATTGCTGCCTCAAAAAAGGCTGAAGCTGAGGCCATCGGGTGTGCTGCTACCATAGTTACAAGGGATGAGAGACGACTGTTGCCTCCTCTTCCTACCATCAATCCCATATTTCTTCCAACCATGGAGTCTACTGACCAAGAAGGTGGCCCTAGCTGTAGCCGTAAGAGAAAGTACAAGGAAAAGGTTGGCAGCATTCATTGGAAGGACTTGAAGGTTGCCATGCAGCCAAGTAGTTTTAGGTATGTCAATAATTGCCTGGCAAGACGTCGATCCACTATTGATGAGCTTGGCAAGCCGTTAGATGAAAATGAATCAGATCGTGACCGGATGATGAGGTTATCTTCTTATGTAAGTGTTACTTTGTCATTTCTTTGCTTTCTCCCCTCTTTTTCCTGGTAGTGACGATTATCTTGTCATGTAGGTCATGACCGAGTACGATGACAGATTACGAGAAGTCGAGCGGTACAAGGCAAAGTTTAAAGAGAATAAGCAGCTTGTGAATGACGCCAGAAAAACAAGCAAAGCTTTGGCTGATGCCATCCACCTTAAGGATGAAAACTTTGAGAGTTTGAAGAGGCGGAATGGTGAGAACGTGAGGCTCAAGAAACAATTGGAAGCGACTAAGGAACAGTTGGAGACAACCATCCTTGAGGTTTCCAAGGTTAAAGGGGAGTTGGATAGTACCTTGGTTGAGGTTTCTAGGCTGAAGATGAGTATCCCAACTGAGAGGGATGCTGCTGTGCAGGAGTTCTTAGGTTCCCAGGCCTTTCACGATGCTTTTAGACCTCACTACATCCGAGCAGCTAATTATGAGAAAAGGAAATGGATGGCCGTCCTTGAGCATTACAACAATGGAAGCATTATCCGAAAGTACCGTGATGAGATGGATGAGTACCGACAAAAGGGTGAAGCCTTCGTCCTCTCAGTTGATCCTAATAGTGATGATGACTCTAATAATGAGGCTAGTATCAGTAAGCAGTCTCAGGAGAGTGAGGATGGTCCTAGAGATGCTGAGGAAGGTGGTGATGACGATGGGGTTGAAATGCAGAGTGATATTGTCAGGGGTTCGGCCTCAGATGAGGATAACTCGTAGTGCCCTATCTTTCTGCATGTACTTTGGATGTACGAATTTGTTGTTTGTGTGGCATGTGCCATGTACTCTGGATGTACTAGTTTGTTGTTTGTGTGGCTTGTGCCATGTACTCTGGATGTACTAGTTTGTTGTTTGTGTGGCATGTGTCATGTACTCTGGATGTACTAGTTTGTTGTTTGTGTGGCTTGTGCCATGTACTCTGGATGTACTAGTTTGTTTATGTGGCATGTGCCATGTACTTTGGATGTACTAGTTTGTTGTTTGTATGGCATGTGCCATGTACTCTGGATGTACTAGTTTGTTGTTAATTACCAAGTATTTGCACTATCATTGATGAATGCCTAGCTATGTTTGAGCAAATCCTTTGTTTAGATATAAGCCATAACTTGGATGTACTAGTTCTGTCCAGTACTGTTTGTTTATTTGTATAGTCTTATTGACATATACTTAGACTTGATTTCCTGTTGGAAGCATTCATGTCGAAGCTTTTAACCCGAGTGTTTCATTGTTAGGAATGTAAGAAGATTGGGACTGAGTTGTCTAAATCGCTTCTTTATTGAATTCATGCCAAATAGTCTTCGTTACATAGGATACCGAACGGCTGAAGCTTAACACTTGTACAATGTGAATTTACTTGTAATAGTACTTTAAGTGATCAGCGTTCCATGGATGGCCAAGGGTCTTGCCATCGGAGCTTCTAAGCTTGTAGGAGCCAGGGCGACTGATGCCAACAAATTCAAACAGTCCATCCCAGTTTGGACTAAGTGTTCCTTCACTCGGGACTCTGTCGCAGAGTAATCTTTTCTTCAATACACAGTCCCCCACTTTGAAAGAACGAGGTTTGACCCTAGAGTCATAGTAGTTGGAGATGCGCTGCTTGTAGGCGACATTCCTCAAGTGAGTCTGGTTTCTGTGTTCCTCGACTAGATCTAAGTTGAGGGTAAGTTGTTTGTCATTTTTGCTTTGCACGTAGTTCTGGACTCAGAACGTTGCTTGCTCAAACTTAACTGGGACAACTGCCTCTGTACCAAAGGCAAGTGAGAATGGGGTTTCTCCTGTTGATGTCCGATACGAAGTGCGGTATGACCAAAGAACTTGGGGTACAAATTCTGGCCAACAACCTTTAGCCTTGTCCAAGCTGGTTTTCAAAGTTCGCTTGATTATTTTGTTGATGGCTTCAACTTGTCCATTAGACTGGTGATGAGCTGGGGAGGCAAAACATAAGTTGATGTTGAACTTAGAGCAGAACATCCTAAACTTATTGTTGTCGAACTGTCGCCCGTTGTCAATGACTATCGCATTGGGAATGTCGAATCTGCAAAGGATGTTCTTTCATACGAAGTTTTCTATTTTTGCCTCAGTAATGGTTGCCAAGGGTTCTACTTCGGCCCACTTTGTGAAGTAGTCAACTGCAACAATTGCATAGCGGACCTTACCCTTCCCTGCAGGCATTGGGCCGATCAAATCCAGTCCCCATTGAGCGAAGGGCCAAGGGCTGATCATGGAAGTGAGCGGCTCGGGAGGGGAGTAAGGAATAGTTGCGTAGCGTTGACACTTATCACATGAGCGGGATATTCTGATGGCATCTTGGTGGAGTGTTGGCCAGTAATATCCTTGGCGAAAAGCCTTGTGTGCTAGGGATCGAGATCCAGCATGATCTCCGCAGACTCCTTCATGTATCTCCCGAATGACAGTTATCGCATCGGGAGAGATGCCTAGCATGTCCTCGTATGACTAGGCGAAGACCTCAGTGTTCTCTTGCAAAAAAGAGATCAATGCCAACCGAATGGGTGGTGACAAGGTGGTACCAATCTTCACCATGCGATCCGGATAATCTTTTGAGATAGAGACCTTCTCCAACTCTTCAGCGGGTTGTGCTTGCTAGGTGAAAGAGTCATCTCAAGAATCGTCAGGTTGACTGTTGCCACCGTGAAGATCCAAGTTGGCTTCGTCTGGGCTAGTCTTTATGACTTGGTCATGTATAGAAAGGGTTTCCTTAGGCACATGCATGTGTTGTTGCTTGACCGAAGTGTTGTAACATGATCGTGCACTAAGTTGATCTCCTCTGATGTAACCATTGCCATAGGGGGTTGGAAATTTCATCAACAATATATGTGTGGATACCATGGCCTTGAGATCATTGATGCATGTGCGTCCGAAGATGACATTGTATGCCGTTGGGCAATCAACCACCAGGAAGTTAGTGGTAATGGTAGCTGTGTAAGGGCTTGTACCAATGGTGAAAGGTAAGTGTATGCTCCACAAAGGTTGCACAATATCACCGGAAAAGCTTATTAGAGGGGAAATCGAGTGGTCGAGCAAGTGTTCAGCTACATTAAGTTCCCTGAAAGCTTCAACAAACATGATATTGACCGAAGCCCCCGTGTCTACCAGGATTCGTCGTACTTCAAAGTTGGCTATGTGAGCTTCCACGATCAGTGGGTCGTTGTGAGGGTAGATGATACCTCTTTCTTCCTCAGGGTAGAAACATATTGGATCCCAGTTAGGCTTTTGATACTTACCTCCCCTGATGTCTTCCACGTGAAACACTTGGTGGCCAGACCTTAAAGCTCGTTCACTATTTTTCATGGCCCTGTTGGAAGATTTAGATATGGGTGTGCCACCACTTATGGAATATATCGCATTTACCTGCCGTTGGTTACGGTTACCCCTTGAAGGGTAAAGGAGGAATTGATCAATTTTTCCTTCACGTGCCAAAGCTTCAATATGATCACGAAGGGTGATACACTTCTCGCCGTCATGGTCATTATGCTCGTGGTAGCAACAAAACATGCCCGTGTTCTTCGTGGGCTTGTAATCCGGGTGCCTCGGCTTTGGCTTCGGTATCAAGTGTGCTATGCTGGGGTAAATGGCCACACATGTGGCGTTTAAAGGTGTGTATGCCTCATACCTCGGGGTAGGGGTTGTCCTGACACGTGCTTGACCCACTGTGTTGACTGCCTGGGGTCGGGGATTATCATGGCGATAACCTTGGTTATCGCGGTAGTGTTCCTTACTCTTTTTACTAAAATGAGACTGTTGAGGATGGAAATCTTTCCTTTTGCCCTGAGATTGATATGTCTGTTGACTTGGCAAAGTATTAAGTAAGGCAGGGGGAGGCACCGCTACCGTTTAGAAGGTCGAGGTCTTCTCATTTGGTTGGATCTGGCTTCCACTCCCTACTTGCTGATAAGGGGTGGTTGTAGGGGGTTTCCCTTGATATGTCCTTGCCTCGGCGGAGGCATGGTTGTAAGCCTGTGTCATCACCTCAGAGTAAGTCTTCCAAGTGTTGGCATTGATCATGTACTTAAAAAAACAATCACGTACGTGAAGGCCTTGAGGGTGGTTTTGTCATCTGCCTTAGCGCAACGAGAATACTCATGGATGAAACGACCAACATACTCTCGTAATGACTCATCCAGCTTCTGGTGAATAGTATACAAGTCATCTGCAAAATGCAAGCGATCGGTTTGGAAGATGTGTTGAGAGACAAACAGTTTCTTTAGTCGTCAAATGAGTATACTGTCTCAGGTGGAAAACAGCAATACCAGTTTAGAGCTCCGCCAGAGAGGGTAGAGGGGAAGAGAAGACATCGCTCTTCGTCGGTGTGCATCTGATATGCCATGGTGGACTCAAAGAGGATAAGGTGTTCAATTGGGTCCTCCCTTCCAGTATAGAGTTGTAAACCAAGCTTTTGTTTTGTCTTCGCTTGAAGGGGGTGTCAAAGATCCTCCTTGTGAGAAGGCCAGGCCTGGGTTGGTTCCAGTCAGGTATCTCGGCCTGACGTTCGGCCTTCAACTTGTTTACTTCCTCAAGGAGCTGTAGGACAAGGGGGCCTTGAGTGGAGTCATGTACCACTGGGATTTTCTTTCGTAAGTCTCCGTCGCCTCTTTGAAGTAGGAAAGTTTGAGCAAGGGCGTGTGATTTTTCCTTGGACTAGCTGTACTAACTTCTAGGGCGAGTCTGTCGGAATACCTCAGAGTCCCATGTACCTTCATGTTCCTCTAGGACATGTCGTTCCTTCCTTAGATTGGCAACTGGCCTGGGTCGTAGGAGGGGACCGAGTCTTTCAGAAACCCTTGGGTCATTGATCTTCGAGCATATGTGAAGGGGATTCTCTCGACATTGCTTTAGGAAGTCTCGGCAGTCACGATAAACGGGTTTCGATCCTTCCAACCCTTCTGCAAGGAGTTGTCTGCCTCCACTTCTCTTGCTTCGGGTCGAAGCAGCTGGATTAAGAGAAGTCTCATGTTGATCAATGTTTTTATGATTAGCTCGCTCCTCATCAGGAATACCTGTGTCCAAAGAATGTGACCCTCCGTGTTGGAGGGCACCCAGATTATGGTTGATATCCACAGGGGCAACAAGCTCGCGTGTTTGAGTACGCATAGTTTCGTGGAGCGTCTCAAAGAATTTCTCATACTGCTCCTGGAGAACCTCATTCTTCATTGCTATCTTGTTGTTTTGAGCTTCTAGCTCATCGACTTTAGCTTGAAGAGCAACCCTCTTTCCTTCCATCTTTCGTTGTTTCGCACTAAGTGCAAGAGGGGTATCATTCTGTGTGATGTGGCTTCCTTCGCTCCCCATGTTGGAAAGGGATGCCTGGTCAAAAGAGAGTGTACGAATGGTGGAAACCAGCTTGACAAAGCTGAAGAGAGTGGGAATAAGTGTTGTTCCCACAGACGGCGCCAAATGTTGATGCACAAAATCAGTGAGGACTTTGGTACAACAGAAAGTGTTAAGTTTGTGACCTTCGCTAGATTGCTCCGGTCACTAGTATGAATAAGTATGTAAATGGATAGAGATATGGAAGCAAACACAAGATGTACGTGGTTCACCCAGATTGGCTACGTCCACGGAGTAGAGGAGTTCTCATTAATTGTGAAGGGTTTACACAAGTACATAGGTTCAAACTCTCTTTTAGTGAGTACAAGTGAATGATTTAGTACAAATGACATTAGGAAATATTGTGAGAGAATGATCTCTATTTATAGACGAGAGTTTCTAGTTTCATTCTGACATTGACACGTGTCGTGTTGTGATTGGCTTCTGATGTTGACACGTGTCGCGCTATGATTGGCTTCGGATGTCGACACGTGTCGCGCTGCGATTGGCCTCCTGGTTGTAGGGAAACTCTTCTGTGTCCTTGACGGTATAAC